CTTTACCTATTAGGTAATATTATGAAGTGTAGAAAATAGAAATACTGAGGCATGAAGCCTGTCTATTATGCAACAGTGACATACTGTTTTCTAATGATACATCCGTGTAAGGTGGCCTCTCCTGCTATGTGGTTAGATCCATATTTTACAGTTTTTAAAAATAGCAAACTTAGTTTTTATGCATGTTTTTACATAGTGATTTGCACATGGAAGCTAACAATCCACATGTCTAATTTCTAGCCATATTGATTCACAAGATATCTAACCTTGTGACAGCCTCATGTCAAAGTTTCATCAGACTGTTTCTTTGGGAGCATGCTAAATGGGGAAACTTGGCTGTGAAGGCAGAATAAAATTAATTTATGTTTTTAATAATATTATTCTTTCCACATTGATAAAATGTGAGATAATAGGATATACTGCACAGTTTTCACATCTTATCATGAAATATCATGGCATTACTAATAGCTCAGGGCTAATAACCTCCTGAGCAATGTAAATGCTGAACACCCAGCATGTTTTCTCATTCTGATGGGACTCTCTTGAGTTGGTCAGTACTATGGTATTGTTCTGCCTGTCCCCACCCTTAAAGTGTATATACGTAAAAAGCCCCTTAAAATCTACTTCTTATTGTGATTAAAAGCTATTTTTAGAACCAGGTAAGTAAAGCAGAGAAAATTGCATCAGCTGGGTGAAACAGAGCACAGCACATCTTCCTCTCACCAACTGTGTCTTCACTTTCAGTCTTGGTCTTATATCAGCAACTTTCAGAGGCTCCCTGGGTTGCGGCAAATTATAGATGATCCTGTCTTATCCCTGGGAGCCATCTTTCTTTTCATCATCACTGAAGCCTGATTGCTTTTGTGCATCTTACCCCTCCTCCCTTATTCCTCTCTATTATGGACATATTGGTCTTTGCCCCACCTACGTCAGAAGCCTATTTCTACAGAGTATTCTTAGGTTTTGTTGGGGAAGAAGGTATCCCCCATTCACTTCAGAGGGTTCCACATCCAAAGACAAAGTAAATAGCTGAATTTTTCTCAGCTGTTTCTTTGACAGGAGCACACATACTAGATTCAGGATACTGCTAGCAGCCAAATGAAAGCAAGTATCTCCTTTTACAGCCCTACTTTATCATTTCCTTTGTCTGTAGGTATGCTTAGATAAATATTATATTGCATATACTACTAGATAGCCCACATTAAAGTCCTTCCAACTTCATGTTTCAGCAACCAACTCATTAGTGACTGCAGATTTATGTGCTAGTTACTCTGGTATTGCCCATTGTCGTGGTTTAAACCCAGTCAGGTAACTTGTTCACTCACTCCCAGTGAGTGGTGCCGAGCTGACAACAATCGAGGTCCGTGTCTCCCCCCCCACCGGGGTTCTCCCCCACTCCCGGAGGAACGGGGAGGAGGATCGAAAAAGTGCAACTCCCACGGGTTGAGACAAGAACAGTCCAGCAACAAATCACCACCGCTACTATCAGCTACAGCAATGATAAGGGAAAATAACAAGGGAAGAGAATACGATACCACCGGCCAAGAAACAAGTTCCACCCGGAAGCCCGTGTCCTTCCGGGTAACTCCCAGTCACCCCCCACCCCGGGCATGACGTGCTGTGGTATGGAATACCTCCCTGGCTAGCCTGGGTCAGGCGCCCCGTCTCTGCTTCCTCCCGGCTTCCCCTCCTCCCTGGCAGAGCGTGAGCCTCACAAAGTCCTTGGTCAGGGTAAACATCACTTAGCAACAACTGAAAACATCGACTTCAGCAACACTGTTCTCAGGCTGGAAGTCAAAACACAGCACTGTACCAGCTACCACAAAGGAAAAAAAAAAAACATGACTGCTACTGCTGAACCCAGGACACCCATGTAAATAAGTAAATAAAATTAAATAAATTAAAAAAATCTTGTTCACTTTATTCTCAATTTTACTTGTGAAACTAAATTGTATGTCACCTACCTAAATGATGGCAAGACGTAATGTTCACCTTACCTGCAAAAGCCAGTAACAGATATAGTGTGGAATGATGCAGGACATGGGAAGTCACCGTGAGAGGGAAAGGCAGCAACAGAAACAGTAGAGTTAAAACATGAGAGACTGAGATAGGAAATGAGGAAGTACCATCGGGCCTGTGTGACAGGGGTATATTTTGGCCATTGATACTGCATGTGCTACTTGCAATTCCAACCATTAAACAGCCTTCATTTGTTCATGAACCTCATTTACTCTGGTCAAGCTCTAAATTGGATTATGGTGTAATTATTTCAAAATGGGATATTTCAGATTTTTATATTTTAGTAAATGGATCTGGGAGGAGAATTATCTTCATGCTTTGTGTACTTTTCCTCAACTTTCCAAAGACAGTGCATCCCCTTCTTTATATATTGGCCTTTATCTTTTTCTTTCCTCATTCTGATTATACCCTATATTGTCTGTATTTGCCCAGAATGAGATTTCCTGTCTTTAAAATAGGCTTCCCACTCATCTTTCACTTCCACTTGTATCCCCAAATAAACATTTAGTCATCTTAAAGACAGAAGAATGAAAATAACAGTAAAATCATAAAATACCAGGTTGGAAGGGACCTCAAGGATCATCTGGTCCAAACTTTCCTGGCAAAAACACACTCTAGACAAGGTGGCCCAGCACCCAGTGCAGCTGACTCTTACAAATATCCAATGTTGGGGATTCAGAAGTTTTCTTTTTGGCTGTACTAATAGATTTCTGGACCCTGCCTAGAAAAATGTTTGCAAAGAAGGGCAACAGCAAAAAAACCCTACAAAAAAACAAAACAACCGCAGCAGCCCTGCGGAGAAGGACTTGGGGGTGTTGGTTGATGAGAAAATGAACATGAGCCAGCAGTGTGAGCTTGCAGCCCAGAAAGCCAACCATATCCTGGGCTGCATCAAAAGGAGCGTGGCCAGCAGGTCAAAGGAGGTGATCCTGCCCCTCTACTATGCTCTTGTGAGACCTCACCTGGAGTATTGTGTGCACTTCTGGTGTCCTCAGGACATGGAACTGTTGGAACAAGTCCAGAGAAGGGCCACGAGGGTGATCAGGGGACTGGAGCACCTCCCGTATGAAGACAGGCTGAGGAAGTTGGGGCTGTTCAGCCTAGAGAAGAGAAGGCTGCGTGGAGACTTCCTAGCAGCCTTCCAGTATCTGAAGGGGGCCTATAGGGATGGGGGGGTGGGACTCTTCATTAGGGACTGTAGTGACAGGACAAGGGGTAACGGGTTAAAACTTAAACAGGGGAAGTTTAGATTGGATATAAGGAGGATATGTTAGGAGGATATGTTAGGGTGGTGAGGCACTGGAATGGGTTGCCCAGGGAGGTTGTGAATGCTCCATCCCTGGCAGTGTTCAAGACAAGGTTGGATGAATCCTTGGGTGAGATGGTTTAGTATGGGGTGTCCCTGCCCATGGCAGGGGGTTGGAACTAGATGATCTTAAGGTCCTTTCCAACCCTAACTATTCTATGAACTATTCTATTCTAAACAAAAATCCAAAACAAAACCAAAAAGCCCCACAAACCTGCAGCAAACTGCATTAAAAAAAAAGGGTTTCTTGTTTCATACTGCACTTCCCACTTGCCTTGCCTTTCCTTCCCACCCCCTTCAAAATCACCCTACTTCATTGCTGTCTTCAATATTTTAATTAAAACTATTTAAATAAAAAACGTTACAATTGTATATTTAATTTCTTTTTTTCTTAGAAAAGGTGATGTTATTTAAAAGAGGTAAAGGGACTTTGCATATGGTCAATTCATCACAGTCAGCTGATTCTTGTGAATGAATTCCATCAGGAGAGCAACAAGGTCCTTGGTAGCTGAAGGCTTTGTGTATAGTAGATCTTAGTGAACTTAAAGAAAGACTGGACATTAATAGGAAAGGTAAAACAGTAAAATGCTAGCAGCTTGAAAATGGAGGAGAAAATGAGAATAGCAGTTTCTACTGAGGAGCAAATACTGTGTGCTCTAAAGCTCTGGAAGAAGGATGGAAGAGCCATCAGGATTGAAGTGTATAAGGAGGGCAGAGGAAAAGAAGGTAAGATCAGAAATGGGTTTGGAAGAAGGAGGGAGGGAGATGGGTAGTGTTTTCTTCTGCCCTCAGTCTTGCTGTGTTTTGTGTGGTTTGATGGGGTTTTGTTTGGTTTTGTTTGTTTGTTTGTTTTCCCTAGAGGACTATCTACCAGAAATTTGCTGGTTTTCAGAACTGGCTGCGGATGAGCTATTACTTGTATAGCCAAAGAGAAGTCTGTCTGTTTATGAATAGCTGCTTAGTAGAACCTAAGAAAATTGAACATTGATCTCAGAGTAGTGTCTCTATAAGAACAATGCTAACAAGGTGCATATTTTCTGTTTGGATTCCTTATGCCTGTGTATTTTATTTTCCGGCATGCTACCTTAGCAATTAATTTGAACACTTCGTTCTGTAATAGGTCTCTTAGGAGAGAAATAGTTGCATCTCATCCTACTTCACATGCTTCTTGTCTTCCCTGTGGCTGACTTCACTTCCAGTGATACTTTGCCTTATGTAAAAATAGAGATCATCAATAACTTTATTTTAGATTATGTGAGAGTTCAGATGCATAGAGTTGCAAATCAGTTTCATGTGTCAGATATTACAATGCATACTCTAAAAACTGGTTTACATGATCATCATGTGACTGAGGGTACAGTCTTCCCAGTAGAAACTTCTCTCCTCATCTGTGTTTTGCCCATGTAGGGTTTGCCGTATAGACCATGCTTTAGAAATAGGTAGATTTCCAGACTAGTTGCTTCTATTTTCCTCATGGGTCATTTAGTATTGGATAAGTTGTATTTTGCTTGGCTCTGGGATCTTTTTATTTCCTTGAAGCTAATGAATTTACTTAGTAGGGATTGTAAAAAAAAATGAAAAAAAAAAACAAACCAAAACCAAAACAAATTCGTACCAATTCCCCAAATATAATAAACTTTTGTAACTTTTCCTAACAAATTTTTTTATGTACAAGGCCATTACTTGCAAATGACTTACAAACTGTAATGTAGCAATAAGATGAAGTGGAATATTTTCATATCTGGATTAACTCTGTACTAGACTATGAACTGAATCACACCTGGTCAATAGTTCCTCATCAACTTACATGTCTTCAGTGTGCAGTGAGGTTGGCTTAGATCTTAGCCTGTTCCCACCTGCATAATCACCTAGAGACAAGACACATAAAATACCCTGGAGGTAATAAAGTAATATAGGCTTTGTTTAACCCATGCAAATAAAAAATTGAAGTTCCTAGATAGAAGAGCCTTCCTGCCACCCTATCCCCAGAATCACAGTGTCAACTTAATTGAAAGAGCTGTAATTTTTTTCCTATACTGTTTTGAAAGAATTGTTTGTGTAAAATAGATTTTTAAGAAACCAATAGTAATTATATATATATATATAAATCTTTTAGTTCTCCAGAATTGAGCCAACTAGCATATGTTTCCTGGAATAGCTTTTTTTTAATCCGTCTGCCTACAGGTAGAATTCTGAAGTTTTATACCCAAACAGAAAATAACATACAATTGATAAATATGTGAACATCTCAACTGCTTTCAACCTCCTTATGTATTTCTATAATGTTAATATTGAATTGAACTTGGAAGTAACTAAAAGAGAGAATCTGATGTCTATGCTTAATACTTTCTGTTCCAGAAATATCTTTAAAGTGCACACTGGTAGGGGTTTGCTTCAAAGTTTATTGTAGTTGCATTTTCCTAACTGTACATGGTTGATTTGAATTGTATTTGCCTTGAAAGCTATATGAAATTGCCACTGAGTTGTGAAGAACTGCAGGTAGAGGATACTTCAATATGAGAATATATCAGTCTTTTATTTTCAGAATCTGTACATTTTAAAAATAGATGAAGAAGCTCAATTGACTGTAAATGCCTACAGTAGCTTTAGCAAATATTTTATTTTGTTGGGGTTTTTTATTTTCATTCATTTTATAGACTTGTGTACGATATACAGACTTTGGACATGACAGTGAAATGAAAAGTGATCAATTTCTCCATAGATTCTAATCAATTTATATGAATATGAAACACAATAGCACTTTAAGGTCAATTTTAGCTTCACATAAAACCACAGGTTTTTAGTTTTCCTTTAGAGAGGTCTAAACACTGAAAGATACACTTCTATGTACAAGAAGTCCTGCCTATGAGAAATGCATTAGAAAAGGGCAGTATGTCTAGAAAACAAAAAGCAGTTGATACAATGTAGAAGTATGCTAATCTCTCCATTGCTTTTGAAAAATCATTCTACTTCTTCACAAGTGAGCTGAGAAAATGCTGAATCTTCATCCTAATTCATTGTGGGATTTCTGCTTATATGATTAATTCTAATCATTGTATAACCCTTCTTTAGAAGAGAAATAAGAGCTCCTGTGCAGATGGACTTTGCTAAAGATGAAGTGACAAGGAACATCAGAGGATTTTGGTTCTCACTTGTTAGTGCATCCATCTTCTGTTTGGGTTCCCTCTGAGTTCAGCTCTTTTATCTGTTTTTCAGTTCACACAGAAAAGAGCCCTACTTTGAAACATTCCAGGTTTGTTTAAGGAAAACAATGCCCTATAAACTATTGCAATTTTAATTCCTTTCTAAGAAAATAATCTTTCTAACATGTGATTTGGGTAACATTAATTTTTGCTTACTCTCCCTTTTAATGCATGGAACTTTCTTTTCTATTTAGTACATGCATGCATCTGTCCCCTTTCCATGTGTTGTATGTCCTTTCATTTCATGCTTCTCTTTTGTATCAGACCAGCTTTCATCCATTTTCCTTTCTCCCTATGCTCAGCAACATATGTATGCATGCTTTTCTTTTAACCCATCTGAGAGCCACATGCTGTGCACCTGTCTCAGTCAAATATGCCTCCTGAGCCTGTGTTGCACAAGACAGGTGCGTGAACCCTAACCAGTATATTAATAAAAGGAAGAGGGTTCAACCATAAGGACATTAGACAAGATATTAATGCAATAGTACGTTTGCTTGACCTTATTTCTAGTTGCACAAACCCATCCTATTTTGCTAGACTTCCACAGTAAACTCAAAATGGTATTTGAGACATTAAGCTGCTTTTGCTTGTGCTCGTCTGCATCTTCAACTTCACAGAAACTCCTGCCCTGACAGTCTAGATCTTACCAGCATCAGAAAAAACATGCCCTATATATTTTGAGTTAGCAATAACTGATTACTTTTCTCCTTAAGGATTTTTAAAAATGTAGGGAGTTCAGAAAGCCAGTTTGGTTGTTAATTCAATTCTGTCTACTCTCAAAATTCAAAAAAGGGGTATACCATAGTTTTCCTTTTACAATGCCAGCACAGTAGTAAGTTGAAAATAGCTGTGACAACAAAAAGAAGACATTTTTATTAGCACCTCTACTTGGTAATTAAACCATGTGAATGATACTAGTAAAGAATTTTTATATACCATTTTGCAGATAGTCAATAATAAAGCAGAATTTGGAAATGAAATAAATTCCTTATTCATAAGCATTAAGAGTTAGTTCCAGAGATGGGGTTATAACCTGATCTGTTCACTTTCAATTTTTACCTGGTTCAAACCTGGACTTTAGAAAATTTTGCTTTTCTTTCATTGGAAAATTACCATAAAATTTTCTAATTTTTTTTTTTCAGCTGTTTATCCAGTTACTGAAACTAAACCTCTGTGGTTTCATTACACCACCTGGAAAAACGGTGGAAACTTTTATTTATTGTTTTTAATCTTGAGTTAATTTCAGAAAATACATAAATGAAGAAATTGATGAAAATTGCAACTAGTGAAAACATTTCAGAAACATAAGGAGAAGAAATTACAACTACTTGCTACAGATCATTTGCACAGCCTTAGGGTACAAGTTAAGTAACAAATCCTTTTTCCAGAGCTGTTGACAAAGCTAACACCACACTGACAGTCCAGGAAAGAGTAGGGCAGGACCAGCTTTTACTCCTGGGCAGAAAAGCAGATACTTTCTAGCATACAGAGAAATGAAGTTCAGTGACTGGAGGAAAGAATACAAAGCAGAAAGTGTGGCTTCTAAGCCTCTTTGTGCCATCAAATTTTCAAAAACCCTGTAAAATAAGGCAAGATCTTCTGTTAGTGCATATTGCCATAATTGGTGTAATTTAGAATATCTCTACTATTTTCACTTAAGCTGAGGATTTAGCACATTTTGACAGTCTCAGTGACAGAATATGTTATAGATATTTGCTTGACAGAATTTATACAATTTAGAATTGGCTTGCTTGATTAATTCTTTGTGCTTGTGCCTGCCCCCTCCACCTACCATGCTGAGGGCTCTGTCATTTAGCATGACTCCATTATATTCTATTGAGCAGAGGCTGCAGGAGGCCAGACACATATGTCCTAGAACCATATAAGTGCTATTTAGCTGAATGTACTCTGCAAAGCCAGAGGCACTCAAGAATCTACAGAAACACTCACATTAGTGACATAATACTGAGTGTCTGCACCATGTTATGTAAATGTTCATTGTGATGAAGTGTATGGTGTTTGTTCTCAGCTGGTTGTACTGTTGTATGTGTAAAGTAGGTTGCTGTTGTTCGCAATAATTTACAGCTAATAGTGTTGACAGTGTTCTTGATGAAGTTTAAAACATGTTCAACTGCTGCTGTACTCTTACCACAATTTTTTACTTTATAGGACAACTTCCTTAACTTTCTGTATGCCACTAGAGAGAAGAATGGAAGGAGTTGTTTGAGGTATACAAAATTAAGGGATGGGCACACATCCAGGGAATCTCAGAGGGAAATATGGGCAGTGTGCCATACACTGAACTTGCTACATATGCGCACATCTGATCTAGCACGCATACGCTATGCAGATGGTTAGCAATTGCACAGATCAGCTCCACAAGGCATGTCCAGATCCCACTTATCCTGGGTGTCGGGAAATCCTGGTCATATGGCCAGCCTGTGATTTCTCTCCTCTTTCTCCTTCCAGTCCTGAAATTATGTCTGAGTAGGGAGGAGAAGAAAAAGAGGACATGCTGAGGAAGAAAGACATACCAGGCTCTTGTTAATATTAAACACGTTGAAAATGGCTAGGTTACCATAAACTAAGGAGCTTCAGGACCTCAGATGAGCTATAATCTACTACTGTGTGTGTATTTTTAGTTTGCTGTTGCAGTGTAAAATGTATTCACTTCACTTAAGCTATGTCATAATAACTTGCTGTGAATACTGAAATAAAATGCTAATTTGATACAGTTGGAAGAGAGCACATGGCAAATTACTGTAATACCACTGATGGCTGGTAACTCATTTGCCTATGGTAGCTTGATCAGTTCTGATCAAATGCTTTTTCTCTTAATCTACCTGCTCTTTACTAATGGGCCTTCTCTAACTAAAACCTGCACAAATTTTAAGTTCAATTAATTTAACTTTATGAGTTAGAATGTTTGTCTTAACCAAGTAAGCCATAATTAACCATAATTAGAAATAGAATATTTCTTAAATCCTCTTCATTAATCAGAGAAACTTATTTTTCTTCACAAGACTGAAGTTTAGTTTTTCTAAATAAAAATATAATTCATTTTACCAAAACACTTCTGCCTAAACAATCTATTTGATACTGTTTTAAAGTATCAGTCTAATTTTAGGTGGTCTGACTATTCTCCCATTGGTAGATAGATTTTTTTTGCAAATATTTTGCATTAAAAATTGTGATAATTCAAATCAGGATCCATATTTTTCAGAAAATAAAAGGATACCATCCAAGGAACAGAAACCAGCCTGATCCTCTGCCACTGCAACTTTGCCATTTACTTTGTTGGCATCATATTGTGTTTTTTTTTTGCAGCTGGTCTTTGAATGAATTACCTAAAGGTCACCTATAGGTGTCTTAGCAGAATTTCTTTAGTTGCTTCCTGTGACAGTTTGAAAACTAATGGTAAATTGGGTTTAGATGAGACAAGAGCAACTATGCCTCCAGGAATAGTTCCTTTCTGTTCCTAAAGAAAATCTTTCTTTCTGTTCCTAGGAAAAATAGCATCAGATTCAGATGTCTTTCTCCCATAATATTGTATTGCCAATACAAAATATTAAATGATTTAAAAAATTAGTGTATAAATATTTAGGGAGTTGGATCTTTCCTCCATTACATTCTGCTTCTGTTTAATTCTAGGAGTACTCACAGAGCTTCTTGAGACCATCACTACTCATATTTGGGCTAAATGTTATTTGTGCATTGTGTAGATCTGGCTAAAAAAGAAAAAAAAAATCAATGTTTGGAGAAAATAGATTTTTTTTCCCCTCTTTTTGTTTCTGCAAGGTAGCCAGTGAAGAATAAACAACCCTATCACAGTGAAGATGGTTTAAAAGAGGGACTTCAATCAGTAGAATTAATAAGGCCTTATACAAATGTGATACCCGCTGTAGTTCTTCTGGTTCTCAAATGCTGCCATTTCAACCACAGAAACAGTTTGAAAATACTTCTCACTTTACTTAAAAGCTTTTATATCTGGATTGCTTGCTTGTATTGGAATCCTTATCCTCACCCCAGAGCACAGTGTTCAGAATTTCTTCAAAAATATTATCTACTTGATTCACTTTTTTCTTCTTCCATTAATCCTCTCTTTCATTTTTCACGCTGAAGACCTTTTTTTTCTTCTAAAATTCATGGATTTTGTCCCTGATTCATTTCAGACAATATACTTTGCATATTACTTCTCACTGCATTTAATAATGTCATCATTTATAAACTGTGTAGGCAATGTATTCTTGTGCTAATTCAGTTTTTGTTAACAAGTTATCATTTTGGGTACTTTGAGTACAAATATAAAAATTCAGATATATGCTCTATAGTGTGTACATATATAAAAACTTTCAAGTTGCAGCAAACCAATGTCTTCTTTTTTCTGACTGTACTCTATGTGCTTAGACTGCGATTGCACAGATGTGCTGCTTTTTTTTTTCCCATATCACATACATTATTACTACTAACCTGTAATCTAGCAATTATGCTACAGTTAAAAATGGCTGTAATTCTTTCTGAAGTTTAATGTGAAGACTTTTGAACTGGAAACTGAACCTTAACTTTGAAAATGCCTTTGTATTTTAATTGTAAATATGTGATTAGTATCACCAAACAATTCAGGTTGAAAATGATCTCTTGAGGTTATCTGATTCCACCCCCTGCTCAAAGTTAGCCTAGCTTCAGGATCAGAGCAACATACTCAGGGCTTGTACAATCAAGTTTTGAATATCTCCAAAGCTGGAAATCCCATAGCCTTTTTGGCTTTCCAGAGCTGACATGGAATCACAGAATAGTTTGGTTTGGAAAGGACCTTCAAAGGTCATATAGTCCAACCTCCCTGCAATGAGCTGGGACATCTTCAACTACATCAGGCTGTTCAGAACCACGTCGAGCCTGGCCTTGAATCCTTGAATGTTTCCAGAGATGTCACGTCCACAACATCCTATAAGGAAGAATCTTTTCCTTATGGTCAATAGGAACTTCCTTTGTTGCAACTTGTGACCATTGCCTCTCATGCTATTTTTGCACATCTGGGGAGTCTGATTCTCTTCTACATAATCACTTATAATATTGTTGAAGACAGCAGCTGAATCCCCCTTAGCCTTCTCTTCTTCAGTCTGAGCACACACACTTCTCTCTGCCTCTGCCTGTATGTCATGTGGTCCAACTCTGTAAGTCAGTGGCTCTTGTCTGGACTTTCTCCAGTTTATTGATGTATTTCTTGCAGTGGGGACCCCAAAACTGGCTGCTTCAGATACAGTCTCAGACTTCCCAGTTAGAATGGAGTAAATATTTCCATCATCCTGTACCATATCTAGTACAGCCCAGTATGCAGATAAACCTCATTACCTCAAGGGTATACTGCTGATTCATGCTCAACTTGCTGTCCACCAAGCCTCCAAGTCCTTTTCTGTCAAACTTTTTCTGTCAGTCCTTAGTCTGTACTGTTGCATTAAGTTACTTCTTCCCAGGTGCAGGACCTTGCATTCATGTTCATTTGAGGAGAAGAGAGGAGAGGAAAGGAGAGGAGACTGTCTGTCTATTTACCTCTTGTGAAGCAATTAATCAAAAAAAAAGAAAAAAATTATAATCAGCCTGCTATCCAGGTTCAGCACGATGGCTGACAAACTGATATTGAAGGAAGGAGCAGGAGGTGGGAACAGGAGCAGTAATCATGTGGATAAGAAGGTAGATCAAGTGAGAGATTGTCACTGATGCCACTCACATGTTTTCTAAATGCTTCTTGTGGAGTTATTAGCATATTTCAGGTTTGTGGTTTCTTTTTCCAAATAAGTGTGCATAAACGAACTTCTTAACAGCAACAATAAATAATATAGTTAAATTTGGTCTCTGATGGTTTTGAGTTCTGGAATCAGCACCAAGGAACTTCTGGGTGTCCCAGTATGCATGTATTCTTATGGTTCTGCTTGCGGTTTCCATACACCCTTGAGTGCAAATTGGTTTCGGCACCCAATTATGAGTGAGGAAGACTGCCGATTTTAAAGCATTGCTTACTCCTCTTAAAACCCTCTGCTTGGAGGCCTGGGATTTAGAGTCTTGTTCTCTGACATTCAAAGCTTAAAGAGCAGCCTAAGCCCCCCGGAACCTGGTCAAATATCCTTGCTTATAAGTTGCCATGCAAGGATGACCACCACTTCTTCCTAGCATAGCTTCTTCTTTTTAAAAATATGGTTGCAGGTGCATGTTGAGAGGATAACAATGGAAGACAGAGGGTTTCTTAAATATATTTGGCTCATGCCATCTGCACCAGATCCTCCCAGTCCTAACTACTTTATGAAGCTGCTACAGTTTTACTTGGAATAAGGCATTTAGCTTCTTTAATCTGACAATGCTATGAATGATCAAAATGCTAGACACTATTAAAGACATAAATTTTCTTAGTAAACAGTGAGTTTCTAAAGATGATATTTTACTAGGATAAGACAATGGCAAATGGGATGGTTTGGGATAGCAGTTTTTGTCTTGTGTAACCAAATGGGATTAAATCCCATTGTAAATAGGGTGTGAAATTTTGTGTACCTGTGCCCAGCACTGCCCCCACAAAATATCTAAATGTCACATTAAGGAATTCAATAAGATGTCTGTATGTATGTGCAGTACGTATACACACATATATATATAGCTAAAAATATATGATATCCATATCTTTTGTATGCATGTTTGGTGATCTTGTCTCAAAAAAAAAGATAAAGGAAATTGGGGAAAAAAAAACAAAACAGTGAGGTTCAGAGGTGAGCAGACTTATGGAAGAATATTGACCAAGGGGTTGAGCGCAATTCTGTCAATGCAAATTTTGGCTTAGGATATCCACACAACACAAGCTGCTGGGCCTTGGAGAATATGCCAGGGGAATAATAAGTATCTGTGCTGTTTTACGTTTGCCTGATCATTAGTTACAGTGTTGAGTGTCCTGAATCACATACTTCTTATTCTTATGAACATAATGGAGATATACTGTGTCCTGACTGAAGTTTCCTGAATATTTTTTTTGCAATATTAACTAGTTTTGAGAATTATCTAAGCTTAGTAACTAAACTAACTGTTTTTTAAAAAAAGGTAGCACATGAACTAAGCAAGCTTTTTAATAAAAATGTGTCTTGTGATATGGTCATTTTTCTACTGAAAATGGAAACCCACTGATATTTCAGACAGGCAAAAAAGAAACAAAATGAAAGAAAAAAGCAAAACATGGAAGAACTTTTCAGCTGCTTTATTATTATTCCTTACTAATAAGTACAAAAATGCCTTGCAAAGAGTTGTTAGGGGCTGCACCCTAATTCAGTCTCAAAATGACATCTTTGTCAGGTAATTGCACAGGGCTAGCAGAAGTTTCCAGGAAGACCTACCTAGAAACCTTTGCCTACTGAAGCAGGCACAGCTGGAAGCTGGGGAGTGTCATATAGCACTAGTTGCCTCTGTTTAGAAAACTGAATCAGCTTGAAAAAGTAAAGTAGTTGTATTAAAGTAGTAAAGTGTTTCATGGTGAGATTAAAACATCTCCAGGAAGATGTGCTCAACATCTTAGTTCCCCTTACAAAAAAATGAGAGTGGAGAAATACATGTGATGGAGCCTGGGAAGCTATTCATTTCTCTCTGAAATATACATACCTTATTTGAATACCTCAAATTCCTCCAGGCAATGGTAACTGTTTTGACTAGATCTCCACTGACTATAATGGGACTTTAACCACTGACATGTATATCTTAACCTTAAAGTGAATCCTGCTTTCAACTGCAGCTTTTACAAACAATTTATTGACTTTTTCAGCCTCATACATTCCTTTCCAAGCTTTGCTACAATGCCTGGTTTATACCCCATCCTGGACTAGTCTGCTATTTCTCCCTTAATTTCATCACATCCCCTTAGAAGATACACATAATTCAAGAGGTCTGTTATCCTATGTCATGTCATGGAAAAAAAATGTGCTACAAACTGTGGAAAGTTCAGTAGAAACAATGAAATATGTTCTAATCTCAATGAGCCTATGAATTCTGTCACAAATTTTTCTTTGCCTGTCCTTTATTTAATTGGTTATCTTCTTCAAGACGTTTAGTGCTTCAAATCACATTTTTTGCCTGTGTGCATATCAAGTCTTTGATCAGGTTTTGAACTGCTGCAGTTATGCAAATTATATGTATATACATACACATATATGAGTATGCAGCATGACTTTTAATTAGTAAAGAATTACTCCTTTACTCATGTATTAGTATCAACAGGAGTTTAGGTCCTGATTCAGAAAAGAATTCAAGCATGTTTCTATTCTCAAGTCATCACTGGGAAAGCAAAGCATGCAGGCTTGACAAGCACAAAACAGGCTTTTCAAATTAAAAGTGCATGTTTTGTACATGTCTGTTTAAAACGTATCTTGGACCGTAGTCTTTTAAAGAACTGTGAAAGCCTTACTTGTTAATCTTGTAAAATAATGAAGATAATTACTTTCTGCTATGTTTATATGTGTCTATTTTATTTTCACTGTTAAGGTGGGAAAATTCTAAACATTCTGTAAGGGGTTTTCTTTATCTCATTTTTTTTCTCCATTTCAGATTTCTAATTCCCTTTATGGGTTCTTATTTAGTCAAAAGTGTTTACAGTGGGGACTATCACTTGAATATGGATAACAACTAATAGTAACTGGAGTCATGAAAATTAGAGGCTGGAAACACCTATTGCATTGTTTAAACCCTTACCCTGCCATTTTAGGATTGTACCCTATAGTATAATTTCCAATGCTTTATTTGGTCCAGTTGTAAGCGACTTTTACTTCCTTGCACTATTCTCCTAAGAACACTATCACAATATTCAATGCCTCCTTGTCATCCCCCTCATCCCTTGGAATTCAACTCTGGCAATTTTAACTTACCTTGACTTCTCATATATATGTATGAGGGATCCCTTTTGGGTACTTTTAACTTTTTCTTTTTGCAGTTTTGGACCCTCCATCACCTTTGAGGTAGTTGTTGTTCTTTCAATTTGTATTTTCATTCTCTGAGTTTAGTTTACAATGTTTTCCCATCAGCTATTCCCTCCATTTCTTTACTTGTTTTTATTAAGATTTCTTTCCCCTGAATTCTCCAATTTATTGACATCTCTGTGGGCCTGCTCCTCCTTCCTGCTGAAGTCAATGGGAAAAAAATAAGGCATGTTACTGCTCGGAACTCTTTCCTGTAATTTTTACCCTATTTCCATAATAAGGTGCGCTTTTTTTTTTCCCCCAGCTGACTAAAATTTATGAATATTTTGAGACCAGAACTATGCCTGTCTTGGGTGCTTACAGTCATCACCTAGCTTATCCAATTCTTCTAGCTGGCAGGCCTTTTATTAACTTGAGTGCGTCTGACTGGCTTCCAGACCAGACACAGTTTGCATCCTGCCAGCTTGAAATTTGCTTGCAACTCTACATGCCTGCATGGAAACACTTTGAAGACATAATCAGTAATTTTGAGCAGCTAAGGCCAGCAACACTGATGAAAATACTATTTAGTCAGAGTCCTTTTCTAAATAACAGAAGTACTGCTTACATATTCTCATGAAAGCTGCAGTGAGAACATTCTGAAGCTGTCATCCTTGAGATACCTGCTATCTCAGGTACTTTGTCTCCAAATTAATACTAAGTGTTCCTATCACTCCAGACAGTAAAATGGTTTCCTCATGTGCATGGCTTCAAATGGAGAATGCTCAGCCTAAGTGTTTATATGGAGCCACCAGCATTTTGTCTGAGGCTGGTTGGTTGTTCCCTGTGGTTTCTTTCCCCATTAGTAATGGCTTTTGACATCTTGGACAGTGTATTTGAGGAAAAGAGATGCTTGGGGGCTAACAGCAAGCAGTTATTCAATCTTCTAGGGCATTTCAGCACATATGGATGCACTCATAAATACATTTTTTTGCTCAGTGGTTCACGGGGAATAGACACTAGGCAGTTTCAGTACAAGAACTTTATAGCTGTGAAAGTAGTGCACACTACTTTACAGATGCTGAAGAATACTTATGCCCCACTATCATAAAAATGAAGTTGCTAAGACACTGTCCGTCATATTTGAAAAATCACGGCAGTCAGGTGAAATTCCCAACGACTGGAAAAAGGGAAATATAACCCCCATTTTCAAGAAGGGGAAACTGGATGACCTGGACTTGTGTAAAGCATTCGACACTGTCCCACATGACATCCTTGTCTCTAAATTGAAGAGACATAAATTTGATAGGTGGAC